CCCCAAAACCCCAAAACCCCAAAACCCCAAAACCCCAAAACCCCTTTTTAGCTGCACTGGTTGAAGTTAATAGGAAATGAATTCAAGATTTATACATGTTTTGGTGCATCAGGCCAATCGCATAGGCAGAACCGACTGAGGTCTGCCCAATCGATTTGAACAGAGCTCTCTGTTCAGACTTCAGATTTTGGACTTCAGGAGGCTTCTAATTTTTGAAATTTAGAATCATCACATGGATACTTTGGGTCAGTTGATACAACAGAAAATTCTAATAAGTCATAGTTAAAGGAGGGAAGTCCTTTATACACCCCAAGCTTGGCAGTGGTAGAATAAGGCACAAACCCACGATTTTTAATAGGTGATTGTTTTCTTTCATTTTTCAGAACAATAGGAGCTCTAGTCCCTGATTTATTTTGTTTCCTTTTCTAATAAAAAGTTAGAGTCAAGCCAAATAATGATGGATTTACCTTTTCAGGGTTCTTCTGAGGTACAAGCTGCCTGGCTCCTTTATCGTCTCTTATAATCGTAAGTCGACGCTATAAAATCTGGTTAATTTTGAGAACTAAGAGACAATAATGAATAGAGTACATGAAAGAGATTATAAAAATTACTCTTCTGACATTCGTGCACCATCCCATGATCTGTTTCTTGGACAGACCAGACTTCTTGGAAAGATCTTTGATATCACTTTTATGAACGTATGGGCGGGATAAGTTCTCTTCTAGCCATTCTTTCATAACCTCAATGGCTTCATGGTCAAAATATCCAGGGCGTGCTCTTGATTTTCCTTTAGTAATTTTAGAACATCTGTTTATTTAGGAAAAATTTTCGGTATAAAGAGTGGAAATGAGAGTAACATTGACTTAATGGGGAAGTCCTGAATGTAATTGAGCAATAATAAAGTCGGTGAATCTTCTTACCTTGGCTAATATTAGAAATACTCATATTTTCTGACATAATTTTTTTGCTCAGCTGTAATAATATTAGACTCATGTAAACCCATAACAAACTTTGAGAAGAGGTTGGTATCTTAGACCCATTTTATGAGAGAGGAGGGAAAGTCTAGATCTTATCAACCAATCCGCAACGAGTTAGCTTACTCTAAGTTATTAATTATTAACCACCAATACGTGCTCTCTTTTGTGGGGTTTTGGGGTTTTGGGGTTTTGGGGTTTTGGGG